GACCCTCCGTCCCCCGTGCGTACTGCGCAGATGTGTTCTCCAAGACATTTGTGGAAATGGTAGCCCGTACCTGTATTTGACCAGCCACCCTGCCCTTGTCCCTCATTCTGGCCTTGCGGCGCATTATTACCAGCCGGTAGTCCTTGACTACTGCGTCGAACGTGTTGTGGTCCTGAAGGAAAGAATGGGTCGCGCCGGGGCATCGAGTACGGGTCGACTGCATACGGAGCGTGGAGTGGCTGTTGCGGTTGTGGTTGTGAGGCTGGCGGGTGGCCTGGGTAGGCTTGCGTCGTTTGCGGGTGGTAGTTCATAGGGCGATCTGGTGGTCGTTGGTAGGGCGGCGGGCGGTCCATAGTCGGCTTGGGCTCATCGGAGAGGTGGTGAGGATGAAAGTGTCGCAAGTACGGGATAGCAGTACACGCTCTCGCTCGCTAGCGTATTACGGAGAGTACAATGGTCGTCGTCGTGTGGAGGGGTGCGGCCCAGAGCGAGCAGCAGTATTGCAGAAGAAAAGAAGCCTCGAGCATGCGAGGAAACGAGAAGGCGCAATGGGACCAAGCGCCACGATCCCTGTAGGACTCTAGCGCAGCCCCGCATGCAGCGACAAAAGCGAGAGCCCGACTAGAGGGCAGGCACTGGCGATGTGATAGGGCTGCTTCCCACAAAGCGCCTACACGCCCACACGGCCACAGGACGTTTGCTCGCCTCAAAGCCCTCAGGCGCATGATGATGCGTATACCAGAGGGCCCCTGGCCATAGTTCGTCGTAGCCCCGCCCAGACTGCCCGCTCTGCGCACAAAAAGAAATACCCATGCTCGTCGGAACATGCGACGCCCGTTCCCATGCAGCCCGTTCCTGAATCGTTCCTTCCAGTTGACCGCCTCGCGCCAAGCCCGATCGGCAGGTGCACCCATCCACGTCCGAGTCCAGCCCAGCCATCAACACCGGTACAGCCAGCAGCTGCCCCTCGTCATCTGAGGCGCGTGACACGTGCCCGTAGCTTTCACCCCCAAACCTGCGATATGTGAAGTAACACCAGCCTCTGCATCCTATGCCGCTTCTCCCCATGCCTGGCTCTCCCGCGTCTTCCTGGGCCGTCTACCGTGCGCGCCTCAAGGCTGTGTTCCACGGCGCCGACCCACGCGTGTGCGCCGCCTTCTGGTTGTTCGGTATGCATGCACCTGAACCCCCCAAAGAGGGGCACCAACACTGTCCGCTCCACCGCGACTAACACGCCCAGGCCTCATTAACAACGTGCTCTACGTAATCATCCTCTCCGCCGCCCTCGACCTCGTCGGCCCAAATGTCCCCAAAGGCGTCGTGCTCCTCGCCGATGTCATTCCCTCGTTCCTCGCCAAATTGTGCGCCCCGTACTTTATCCACAAGATCCCCTACAATGTGCGCATCGTCATATTCGTCGCTCTCTCCGTATGCGGCATGCTCATCATCGCCCTCACGCCTCCACTGCAGGACTCGGGGACCATCGCCATCAAGATGTGCGGAGTGATGCTTGCCAGTCTGAGCAGTGGAGCTGGCGAACTGAGCTTCCTTGGCCTGACACATTACTACGGCCACTTTGCTCTGGCTTCCTGGGGCTCGGGCACGGGAGGCGCCGGCTTGATTGGTGCTGGAGCCTACGCCATTGCGACCAACACGCTCGGCATCACCCCTCGTACAAGTCTACTCGTCTTTTCCTTCTTGCCGCAAATCATGGTGCTGAGCTTCTTCATTATCCTTCCACTCGGCCCGCTGCGCGCTGGCATCCAGAAACAAGGCGACTATGAAGCCATCGATGACCATGGGGACGATGAGGAAGAGGAAGTAGGCCCGGCGCAGGAACAAGACGACCTGTTGTCTTCCTCCATGCACTCGGCTTCAGGGCGCAGTTTCCCCTCTGTCACTAACACCGGTGCTAATAGTGCGCTGAGTAGCTTTCGCGCAAACCTCAACCGCGCGCGAGGCCTGTTCTTCCCATAGTAAGCCCGATCCTTGAAATCTCATCCACTCCAGACTAACGCATCACAGTATGCTGCCCCTCCTTCTTGTCTACATCGCCGAGTACACTATCAACCAGGGCGTCGCACCCACTCTGCTCTTCCCTCTCGAATCCTCTCCTTTCGACGAATACCGCTCCTTCTATAGCACCTATGGCGCTATCTACCAGGTCGGTGTCTTTATCTCGCGATCCTCCACACCCTTCATACGCATACACCACCTCTACGTCCCGTCATTTCTTCAAGTCGCCAACCTCATTGTCCTCGCGTTGCACGCCATGTTCAATTTCATCCCGAGCTATTACATCGTTTGCGTAATCATTTTCTGGGAAGGTCTATTAGGTGGGCTGGTCTATGTCAGCACCTTTGCCGAGATTACAGACAATGTGCCGAAAGAGGATAGGGAATTCAGCCTGGGCGCGACTAGTGTGAGTGATTCTGGAGGTATCTGTATCGCTGGTTTCTTAGGCATGGCTGTTGAGGTGAGTCTGTGTCGCTGGCAAGTGAACCATGGCAGAAATTACTGCAAGCTGCAGTGAAATCCAACTATATCGACTCTGCATCCTATGACTCCAGCTTTCGCACCCCACTCTTGGAAACATTCTCGGTCTCGTTGGCGCGTTACGATAAGTGAGCAATAATGATATAATTTCAGAAACGGAACCACGGTTTAACTTCAGCTATCTATAGTATGCATTCATCTCGAACTTTTCCTCTTAGAAGCCTACACATCCTCACCGCGAGTTTCTATAAGTCACACGACTGCCCTAACCTACTACACCGTATCCATGCAGTTCACAACAAAACCGGCTGAGACCCAGGGAGTCTTCTCAACCCTCTCTCGCGCTACGTCCGACACGGAGTGCGATACGGACTCCGAGACGCTTTTCGACTCTGACGACGACTCCGACGACCGCAAGCTAGGGCAACAAGAAAAAGCCCTACCACAATACCACATCACCGGCATACTAGTAGGATGGCAACCCGATAAAGACTTCATCGCTTCCTATCCCGCACAAATCGTTAGTTGCCCTCTCAATCGTCAAACTACGGTGGAAACTTGCTAACACCTACTCACTAGATCGGAACCACAGTCATGGATGACGGCGTCGAGGTTAATCCAATCGTCAACAGCTCGGTTGATGTAGCGAACTTGCGCCTCGAAGTGAGGGGCAGGTCGGGCAAAGAAGCCCGGGAGAAGTTGCGGGTTAGCCCTGTTAGCATTTTTGACGGGTTGGGGCCGTGGGAGAAGGAGTGGGATGATATGTGTGGGTGTGAGGGGAGTGAGGACTGTTCGCGTATCGATGACGGGGATAGGGACGAGGAGGTGGGTTTGGACATCATCACGGAAGATGCAGACGGCTTTGCCAGGAACACTGTCTGCGATGAAGATAACGAAGATGGCGACTCCGTCATAGATGTCGACGAGAAGGTGGGCGTCGAGCCTTGCGTTGGCATAGAGTATGTTTGGCAAGCTTAATTCGGTCGGTCGGGCATTTGAGGGCAGTTAGGCATCAGTCTTCACACACGCACATTCTATTTCAAATTGTTATATCCAAAGTGTTTCATCGCTACATCCCTATTTTCGCCATCCTGACTATGGCGATCCCATGCGCAATCCCATGACGCCGTTCGCCTGATTTCCCACTCCTTAGCGACATCGTGATACACGTCACGAGCTGATCCACTTTTCCTCCCCAAAACCATGGTCCCTCCATTCGTCTGCCTACACGTGAGCCTATGAGTGAACTACAGTTAGAAATACGACAGTAGGGAGTCATGGTTGAGACACGTATAGTAATTATGTGGCATGCGTTCATTTCTATCTCTCAAATATTCTTTTCGGTCCCCATCTTGCATACACACTCAACTTCGTACCCTTAGCTACACTACGGTAAACGAAGAATGCCTTCAAGTCGGTATTCCTCCGAAAGCACTGCTATCAATATGCCCGCGCAACCATTGCGCAACCCAAAAACCTGGCATATCGCCACTTTAGCACCAGGCTTCGATAACACTCGTCTCCGCTTCCCCATTCTCGTTGTGAGTATACTCTCTTGTACCCCGAGAATCCGCAATATGAGAGATGAATTATCTGACAAGCACAAACAGGCAAACCATGATACCAGCAGCAAAACTCTTATCTCTTCCCAAAGCGAGCTAGAAACTCTGCTCAAGACACAATATGGGGATGCTGCATTCGACATAGCTTCCACAACCCCTTCATCACCACAGAGAAACGACAGCGTAGTAGACCTATCCTCTCCAACCGACAAATCCCCATCAAATCCCTTCACAGACGACTACCTCACACCCTTATCCTCACATTTCGTCGACGGCGAACTAGTATGCACAGGCGGTCTTGCGATCGAACAAGCAGACTCTTCAGACTCTTCGGATTCCGAAGACTACGCGAAATGGCTGAAAACGGAAGAGACTGAAGTAGTGTGTGGAGGCGATGGGCGTTCTTTTACTGTGAAACTGGGTGCAAGGAGGTGGAGGAGGAAGAATCGGGTGAAGAAGGCTGTGTCCAGGCTGAGGAGGAGGTTGCTGTTTTTTGGTGCAGTTTGATATCTTTTTCTTGCTATTCGCTGTTTTTGAGTAGTGCAATGTTATACCCAATCGAATTGAATCTGTTACAAAAGAGTAAATGCTGCGCCTACCCACGTCCTTGGTTGGAAGTTTTTCGCCGCTGTCTTCCCAAGTGGCTACACCGCGCTGTGGTGGTGAACCATAGTTCATATATCCCCAACCACGTATCGCCAGAATCGAGACAAATAACCACTGTGAACATCGTATATAAGCCATGACGAGTCCTGCATACTTCCTCTTCATTCCCAGAACTACACCATTTACCGCACGCATTCACGATCAACCAAGCACACTACAATGTCGCCAAATACGACTGCAACATCAGCGCCCACACTTGAGGGGTTTCCTTACCAACGAACCCTCTGCATCCGCGAGATCGAACAGACACCCATTTCGCTTATGAAATTCCCTCTGATGATTGTAAGTATGCGATAACCTTCGCATGTCATCCAACCCCTTCAAAAACAGTATTTGACATTGCAACAACTTTTGGAGCATACTAACTTCACCGCAGATCGAACCCATTTACGAAGGTCCCGGAAAGGAAACCACCGAAGAGGTACATACCCTAGAACGCCTCAAGGAGCTATTAGAAAAGTATTATGCCTTCCTAGTCAAAACTTTGGAGGCCAAAGCTTTATATGAGAAGCGTGGGTGGGACAAATGGCTGGTTCCGAAGCCATACGATGCTGCTGCGTGGACTGCGGCCAATGGAGATGAGCCGTGTGTGCTACCGAGCATACGCGTGCGTTTTCCAGAATTCTTCGACGACTAGAAGAAAGTTGGTTACTTCAACCCGGAAAACAAGGCATGAATAGGATGATACGTCTGTAAATGACTTGGGGATTCGCGTGGTAGGTGGGGGCCATCTCATACAAGGGAAAGACTGGATGGGTCTGCAGACTACATTAAGATGAGTACACGCAAAGTGGGTGTGTTAACATCGACGTAGACCCCAGGCTGTTCACCCTTTCTCTAGGTTGACATGGGGGCTGTGCCAATGCGATAGCGTATTGTAGCGCGGTAGGTAGCTGGCATTCGTCGGTTCTAGGAATGTTGAGACGGTATCCGGTGAGCTGGTAGAGCACGCTCATCCCTACACATGTTAGAGGGCCACGAGCGCGATAATTGACTGTCTTCTGTAAAACATCAGCTGCCCCAATGTATTTCTTCATAAATCCAAGCTCAAGTCATCAGTCGGTCATGGCGCGTCGCCAGGTGGTAGACGGTAGTAAATTGCTCTTTTCCAAGACTCATCTAGAATACACATGCCTACCCCTCACATCCATCGCCATGCGCTCTCGCTCTATATTTACAAAGTATCCTTGAGGAGCTTGTTCATCTTGGCCATCTTTGCGGCGACGGACTTGTCGATGGTGCGGTCGGCGATCTCGACGATGAGTCCACCGCGGATCTCAGGGTTGACCTTGGGGACGACCTTGAGGGTCTGGCCGTTGGCGACGTATTGCGAGTTCTTGATGGCGTTCTCGAGGCGGCTGATGGTCTTGTTGTCGAGGGGCTACATTTTGTCAGTTCTTAGGTCCCTGCAACTTCCTCCTCTATTCTTGGGGTCTGTCCTTCCATCTCATCTCGGAATCAACGTACCGCAGCGCTGGTGACGGTCAGCTCGACCTCACCACGGTGCGCACCCATGAGCACACCAAACTTCTCTACGACACCCTGTAGTACGCCCAATCGGTTGTTCTCAGCGAGTGTGGCGAGGAAGTTCTTGACAATGCCGTCCTTGTCGGCGCCGCCAATGTGCTTCTGGAGCTCCTGGACAATCTGCTGCTTGTCCGAGACGGAGAGCGAGGGGGCGTGGAGGATCTGGGTAAGCTTGGCGTCCTTCTGGAAAACGCCCTGGAGAGCCTGGAGAGACTTTGCGGTGGGGTCGAGGGCGTTGGTCTTGGAGGCCGCGGTGTACTGCCACAATTGTTAGCCAAGCTCTTGTTCCCCAGCCATTGGCCCGTTTTCCATCCGCCTATCATCGCCAGAGTGCCAATTGGAGTCGTGGAAAGCGTACCAGAGCGCTCGCGTAGGTTCCGTCGACGCCAAAGAGGGCAACCGGGGGCTTGTTGGCAGAGCCAGTCGGGGCGGCGGCGGCAGCGTAGCTTCGGGTGGCAGCGTAGCGGGCGGCCATTGGGGCGCGGGGCGCACCCGCCCGGAAAGCGGTGCTGAAGGCACGAGCGGCAGACATGGTGGGTAGAGGGGAGATGGATTGCGGGATGGGGCTGCTAAGGAGCGCGGGTGCAGTTGAGGATGCTGCGATGAGGTTTCTGAGCCCGGCTCGGCACTGGCTGCGACTAGCACCGATTGGGTCGCGGGACCTGGAATCTCACCCAACCACGCCGCAACTCCATCAACATCTTCATCGGGTCTTTGGTACCTACTTCTCCTTTCTCCCCTGTATTTAAATAGCTACTTGCTACTTCTCTCGCTGAGTTACACTGCACAGCTCCGAGGGCCGGTGTGTGGAGATCAACGTAAATATCATCCCACCTCCACGTAACATCTTGGAGCTTGGAAGAGCCGCAAGCACCTAGATCCGTACTGTAATTTGTGTGATAGCGACTATATGGCGGTACGTTGAGACGCGGGCTTTCGAAGCTAGATGGATGCGCAGCGGGCGATGCTCTCTTTCTAGTCATCCCTACCCCTCCACTGCTCGCTATCGTGGTCGTGTAGTCCAGCGACCAGCTCAACTCATAGCCACAAAATCTGCAATCTGACGAAAACAATTCGATAATCCCTCATATCTTCCTGTTCGCCCACTACTTACCGTGTCTATATGTCTCGACGCATTAGTCGTCCACCACAAAAAGAGCGGCGGCCGTCCATCACCGTTCACCTTCACCTTACCTTAATTTCCTATCGTAGAGTCTGCGTCACCATGAGTGTGGAGAGACCCCGCCTAGCTTCCGCCATATCTCTCTCTCACCTTCACGTATCCTCCCTTTGCCATCTATTAACGTCTTTCCTGCCTCACTCCTCTATCAACCACCATACATCAAACCTCCTTATACCCATCGCCATCCGCATTCAACATGGAGCCATCAGTCGAACGACCACAGACGCCTCCGCTATCGTACCTTATGACACCGCCTTCGACCGGCGGTATGGCTAAACGCGTTCGTTTCAGCAACGTCGAGTACCTTGACGCCGACGCCAACTCTAACAAGACAGGACGCGCAATCAAGTTCAACGAGGGAGAGTCACCTGAGGTCTTCTTCCACGAGCCAGAGGAGACGTTCGACACCGAGATCCGCGAGAAGAGCGATGACGAGGGTAGTACCTCAACCGCAAGCAACTTCGATCTGCCTTCTCCAGTCCCAGCCGACTCGTACACTGCCAAACCCACAGCCCTCGAGAAACACGACCCATTCGCCTCCCTTGCTCTCGCCATTGACAGCCCCGTTTCAGACAAGGGACCATTCCCATTCATGAACCTCCCCATCTCCGTTCGCAACATCATCTACTCGCACCTCCTAGTCGTTCCCGGCCTGATCTGCGTCCGCCAAAAGCACACCGTATTCCACGACGAGAAGAAAGCCTTCCTCCATGCCGAGCGTCGCGAGTTCCTCCCAGGCATCGCATACGCACTCGTCCATCTCCACGTTGACGGACATAAAACCCGCTTCTCGCTCGTTGGCCGCACCAACATTAACATCCTCTGCGCGAACAAGGAGATCTTCGCCGAGGCCAAAGCCGTACTGTATGGCAAGAACATGTTCGAGATCGTTAGACCGACGAACGAACTATGCCCACCACCCGACTACAGTGTGAGACTGTTTCCCCCCGGATGTCAGCGTCTTATCACCAAGCTCAACATCAAGATCCGTTCCTTCTACGATCTGCACTGGTTGCTGAACGGTGGATACAACGTCATGAAGAACTACTACCGCGGTCTTATTTCCCTCACTCTTGTTCTGGAAATGGACTCGACTAGCAAAGGTTTCGGGAAGACGTGGACCAGGAATGGTGCTGAAGAGGAGTGGGCGGACTATGTCCAGCGCCTGCGAGGTGAGATGGCGAAAGAGCTGTTCAAGAAGATGAAGGTCAAGGGTGCGGATGCGAAGATCGTTCCGGTCTGGATGAACTTGCGCGTTCTGTTCTCGGGCGAGGCATACGACGGCAGTTTGGCTGCTGTTGGAGATACTGGTGATGAGCAGCGAGCGAAGCAGGATGAGACTAGGCAAGGCTTGGTTGAGGCATGGGAGTTGTTCAAGAAGGGTGGGAAGTAAGTTTCAGGCAGTCACGGTTGAGTTGACCAGACTTGCGTTTTTACTATCGTCTAGTATCACAAACGGATCTTGTGTACTAGTACGCCATCTTGGAGATCCTTCTTGGACTTGCAGAGGTCTCGGACGAGTTTGAAGGACATCCTAATCATCACGGCGTGGATTAGCGTACCATCGCGCCTGTGCCGCCACATACATCTTCTAGTTGATTTCCCAAGTATATAGATTAATAGCATTACGCATTATACCAATATCCACCAGAAAAGTTCCCAGCTCCACCCAAATGCCGACTACAGTCCTCCCAGTATATGCCCAAGTCGTTATGTACCCTAATTTCCCGTCCAAAGTACCAAGCGCCGCGCTATATGATAATGCATCAAATCGTTACCACCCAATTTTTTCCAAGTCCTGCAGCGGCCAGCCTCCTCACAGTAGCAGTGTAAGCCATCCCGCCGCGCCAATAATCATACTCTCAATCCACTTGTCCAAACCGCCGGTGTGTGTAGATGGTCCGACTCCCTTACTTGTCTCGCCTATTCCGCTCGCTATCAAATCTCCAGCGTCGCGACTTCCCGTTGTAGAAGCGGAGTCTGAGCGCGTCGTGCTGGCGCTGTTGCTCTTAGGTAGCTTGGGTATGGTGCTTGTTTGGCCGTTGATGATCAAGGCCGTGCCTTGTTCGTCTAGAGAGTAGGTGGTTCCGTCGATTTCTATAGATGATCCGGGTACGAGGGTTGTTCCGTCGTTCAGAACGTACTCGGTCGTTCCGTCTCGGACAGTGTGTGCATACGTGACGCCATTGATGGTCAAGGCAGGTGCGGCGGTGATCTCCGCACCAGCAGCCAAAGTGGATGTAACGCCGTTGACGACGATGACAGAACCGGATGCACTCGTGGGCATGGAGTATGTGGTCCCGGAGATCGTGAGGACGCCACCAGGTGTGAGGGTTTGGTCAGGAGCGAGAACATAGGCTGTCGTGCCGCTGACGGCTTGCGCAGTGACGGATCTCCCGCCGTCGAGAGTGATGGCTGATTGTCCAGCATTCAACATCGAAGTCTGGCCGTTGACGACAAGGGTTGACCCATGACCCTCTGCCGGCATGCTGTAGGTCGTGCCATCGACAACAAGCGTGCTTCCTGCGCTAAGCGTCTGACCAGGCGCTACAACAAAGACTGTTGAGCCTCCCACTACGGTTGCTGAGACGGCTTGACTGCCGACCGTCAAAGCGGGGGCTCCGGTAAGCGCCGGAAGGTTTGCGATAGTCTGTGTGGCACCATTGACAATAGCTATGCCATCCGGTGCCATGCTGACGGTGTTCCCGTTGATAGTGATCGGAGGGCCGCCCGGCTTCAACGTCTCGGATCCCAGAACGTAATTTCCATTCGAATCTGGCGTGACGATCCCCCCACCAACAATGAGCACAGGTAAACCTTGCGTCGGAGCCGGATTGGGAGCTTCCGTCGGAGCCTGATTGAGAGCAACCGCGCTACCATCTACAACGATCTGTGTTCCTCCGCCATTTGTAGGTACGACCACAGGC